TTTGCTTGCATATGTAAATAAGAATCTTAATGTGTTTGAATTAATGTGTTCAAGCAAACACATCCAAGGTGTGCAGCATTTTCTAACCAGGAACAGTGAAAACTAGAAAAGGAGCCTTGGGAGGGATGATGCCAGCCCCTCTCCAGTGATGATGAGCTTTCATAATAAAAGGTGAACTAAATAAACTGCTGACCACATTTCCAATCAAAGATGTCGGATTAACTGTCAGAACTATGTGAGTTTATACCATAATCTGAACTGCCAACTGCAGATAAGAAAGTCTTCAATTCAAAATTATGTATTTCCAGTTAAGGTCAGGACAAGAACTTGACCACAGGTGGGACTAATGTTTATCTGCTTCAGCAAATCTTAAAACTGAATTGTACATGCCTTTCTCTGGACAACCATTTTAAAATCAGTTATCGGATGGACTGAATGGTGTGTTCTATAGTAGAATACGATGGCGTTTGTATCTTTAGGATGTAGACCTCTTAAACCTAGCAACCGTGTGATGGCAAAAGGCATCTTTTCTGATAGAACTCCCTCCTGGGAATTCTGCACCATTTTCTTGCAATGTGCTTGGATAGGCTTTCCAAGAAGTCACCGAAAGATGCCAAGGTCTAGGCTTTTTCTTAACCACATGTGGTCCCTATGCCATCTTATTATATGTTTATCTTTGATGCACTTTGAAAAGTGAAAGAATGTGATATCGACAACTTCCAGCCCCCATACAGAGGAGGGACGCATTGGCTGGAGTGATTTCCTTCTGCGGTGACTTCCTCGTCCCTGTTATTTCGAAGGCTTTTCAGTAGTGTGGATATTTCAGGCCAGAAGGGACGTTCCAGGCGAACATGGGGATAGTGGTGGTGCTGTGGACTGCTCCATAGAGAAGCCCCTTGGAGGGCCACGTGGTAGCAAAATGAGAGCTGGGGGGGGGGGATGGTACCAGTTCTATGAAAGACGATAGTTTTAGTTTCTATTCGTAGTCTACTTTTGTAAGCAGTCTGAGTTGTCACAAGATGAAATGTGAACAGGAGAAAGGAGGTCTGTTGACTGTAAGGAAGGCATCCTCATGTAAGATATTAAACCTTTATGGACAAGCCTGAATAGTAATGGCCATTCAGATGGCACCTCAGCTACCAAATGACTTTATAACAGAAAATTAAGGTGGACATTATTTAAACCAGAATGATGTAACTGTGTACTGTGATAATGCATGTGCTTATACGTATATAGAATAGTAACACATCCATCTATGGCTGTGTCTAATCTATCTAGCTACTTCTAACCCTACTTCAATAATGTCAAAATTGCCACACCTTTAAAAGCTAAGAGTTTTATAATTATGAAGGGAACACAGTTTTGTAGTAAAATAGCTGGAAAATATATAAATGAGGATAAAAATTATAGTATGTAATTGAAACCAACCAGTGTATTCATTTACATATTTTAATTATTATACAAGCATAAGTTTTAGCCCTGAATTCTCATTTAGCATTGTATCATGACAAACTTCCAGGTTGTTAAAGGTGTTTTGGAAGCATTTTGATAATGATTGGTAATATTCTAATATTTTAAACTAGTTAATTATATACCACCCATTGGACATGCTGCTTATGCTGATATTTTACCATCATAAATGGCATTGCAATGAACTCTTTGCAGAGGCATGCACAAGCCTATATTGAATTATTTCTTTAGAAGCAGAATTAGGGGCTGGAGAGGTGGCTCAGCCATTAAAAGATGAATCATACTTCTCTTACAGAAGACCTGAGTTCAGTTTCCTGTACCCATGTTGCACAGCTGCCTGTAACTCCAGCTCCAGGGGATCTGACACCCTCTTCTGGCCTCTGTGGGCACTGCAGTCATGTGAGCAAATTCACACACAAGACATACACACATACACATACTTTAAAATAAAGATCTTGCCGGGTGGTGGTGGCACACGTCTTTAATCCCAGCACTTGGGAGGCAGAAGCAGGCAGATCTCTGTGAGTTCAAGGCCAGCCTGGGGTACAGAGTGAGTTCCAGGAAAGACGCAAAGCTACACAGAGAAACCCTGTCTCAAAAACAAACAAACAACAAACAACAACAACAACAAAATATTTAGAAGCAGAATCAATATTTAGTGACCAGGAATGCTTTTCAAAATCTGTCAATATGATTTCCTAAAATTAATATAAACTTATGTTCTTGTAAATAATGCATGCTGTTTTGGTGAGCATTAACACTGAAAGTGTATTTTGTCAATTGTATAGGTTTCAAAGCCAAATATTGTAATGTTGCATTTATCTACTAGTGAGTGTGGTAATTTAAATTTTTTTTGCTGTAAGTGGCATTTCCCTATCAGAATTCCTCATAGTCTTTCTTCATTAGTATGTGTTGTTTGAGAGTGCTTATCATATAAAAAAAAAGCTGCTTCTTGCTAATACTTCTTCCGTTCATTGAATGTGAGCTTGTTTGCAGTTTCTTGCTTAGCTTTCTAACATGCAGAAAACTTAACTTTATTATGTTATCTTTTCCTTTATATATCTCTTGACTGCCTTTATCTAGAAATAATCCTTTTTAACTTTGTGCCAGTTGCGAAATTTTTATTTAGCATTTTAGAATTTTACTGTTGTTATTAAATCCCTTATAAAGTCCACCAGTATGACATAAATTGAAGTCAATTTAATTTGACTATCATTTAAAAAAGAGGAAATCTGTAATTGTTTGAGTAAAATGTAGTTACATGTATTTTTGGTGTCAAGATAGGTAAAATGTGATACCTAAGAAAATAGCATTGAAATTATTCATAAAGTGTGTTTTATGAATGGTTCATATGGAAGCATAACCATGGAGAATAAAACCTAATTCTGTATTAAGTTAATCAGATCCTTGTTAGAGAGATCATTTTTTTAAGAAACAATTTTTTCAAGCCGGACATGGTGGCACACACTTTTAATCCTAGCACCGGGGAAGGATGGGGCAGAGGCAGATGGATCTCTGTGAGTTTGATGTCAACTTGGTCTACAGAGCTGGTTCTAGGACAGCCAGGGCTACACAGAGAAACCCTGTCTCAAAAAACAAACAAACAAACAAACAAACAAACAAACACCAAAAAACCATACACACCAACGAAACAAAAACAAAAACACAAAAACACAAAACAAAAAAAAAAGAAACAACTTTTTTTTTTTCCATACAAAATTTTTGGCAGCATAGCCTATATACAAAACTTGAGCAAAAAGGTTCTTGGGATGTCAGCATGAACTTAACCTCACCTCATGTCTAGACGTTTGGAGCTAAAATAATCCAAGAAAAAAATACTATATGAAAATAAGACAAGTCACCCTGGCCTGACTTATAGTGCATTGTATTTGTTTTAGCAGCTTTAAACCACTGCTGATACATTTACCATCAGAAGAGACTACACTTCAAGTCAACTTGACAATAGACATACTTTGAGTAGGAGTTTGGATAGCTTACTTGATGCACTAAAATCTTCCTTTACATATGTATATTTTCGGAATGGTAAGGTAACATAAGAGTTATGCAAAGACAATAGAGTATCAAGTGGTATATTTAATATTTTCTATGGGCAGATTATAGAGTTCATGGAGAATAAATTTGCTAAGCACTTAAAAATTCTGGTTGGACACAGCTTTAGACAGACTAATAAACATATCTCAAGGAACATGTGCAGAAAGTCATTTTATATCATTTCTGGACCAACTATGCAAGAAAGAGTCCATAAACAGAAGGTGAAAGAAAAAAAGAAGAAAAAACAAGATTTTCCTGGTTTGGTTATCCTAGAATGTACCACATGCCTGGATCTATGAATGTAATTTCAGAGTTAAGATTTCTGCTTCAGCAATGTGGGAGAGCTTAGTATTAATCTTTCTCATTTCTTCATAGACTTTTGTACCCAAAAAATGTTTTTATATGCATTGTGTTTTTGTAAATGGTGTTGCTAAAGTGTATTGGTGTTTACTTTAGAAACATTTCAATCTTTTGGCCATTTTCTGATTACTGAAGTCACTAATAATTCACAAATTTTTAAAAATGAAATGCTAATATCTTCTAAATAAAACAGTGCTGTGAGCTTTGGTGTGGGAAGACACTGAGCCAGTTAATTTGAGTTTCATTTGGAGACACTTCCTAAATCTTTAGCTCTAATGGATAAAAGCCATGTTGGTGTTATAGTTCACGCCAAATAGTTCCAGCAGTTATTAGTGGCATATGATAGTTAATTTAATCCATACTTTTATTTTACACATAATATGGCACATATAACCAATAGCAATATGTTGTGAGATGTAGTAGGCTAAATACATTTTAAAATATAGAGAAAAAGAATATAATTACGCAGGTAGTTGCTATTTGTGGGGAGAGGGAACCACACATAAAACTCTAATTGCACTTAAATTCGGTATTTCACTGATTTAAGTGCATCTGGATGTTTAAGATTCATTTTCAAGAGATTTAAATTACTAAAAAAAGTATTCACAGCTAGTTACACACATAGGAAGTTTTGATAAATAGAAAAACAAAAGTATATTAAATTTCTTCTTCTAGGCTGTGGCTCAAGAATTCCAAAATAGCTGCCTGTGAAAATAAAAATATTCATTTTTGTACACTTCATTTAAATGAATCTTACCAGATTTACTTGCTTGTCTTTTTATTAAATTTGTGTTTGTCTTGGTTTTTAGAATCAGTTCTTATTCTAAACAGCTATAGAAATTCAGCCAATGGGCCCTGTCAACTAATTTACAGCAATATAAAGTTGTAATAAACTAAATTTAAAAAGAGCATCAGGTGCAGGACATTGCTGGTCCTTTAGGAGACAGAGTTCCTGGGCTGAGATACTTTGGACCAGTCTCTTGATTAGTGTGAGTCTCTGTCCACGTGTATTCATGACTTCATAGTATTGGTGCATTTTGACCTTGAAACAAAATCCAGTTAAACATTATTTTGTCCTTTAAGGATTTTAAAAGAAACCTCCAACTTAGAAGCATGGCTTTCCCCCAAGGGTCACACTTTTATTCTCTGAAGAGAAGTGAAGGATTTTACAGTTGAAGGAATCCAGGCCAACAAGCAGCTAGCCAACCTCTTTGCCTAAGAAACCTGGGGCTCTGGAATTGTCCCTGGAATTGTCCAGGTGCCTGAGAATCCTTCGGAGAGGCAGAGAACTAACAGTCATAGTGCTAGACTAGCCTCAGAAGTCATTTGCTTGCTTCTGGCCCTTTATGAGCAAGGATCAATTGAAGAAAGAATCAGTCTTCTCGGGGAGCGGGGTTAGATGGGGTGGGGTGGGGTGGGGTGCCGGGGGTGGTGGGGCGAGTCGGGGCAGAAGTCCGGTCCACCACACTTACATCGCAAGAAGCGTCTCTTTTACAAACTTCCTATCATTTAATAACTTCGTGTTTGAGCTTGTTGGGTCTGCTAAATTAACTGTTCTACCTAAAAGCTTTCCAAATGTAACAGCCAGCGAGTAGAACGCATAATGTTTTCTCATCAAAGCAGTACTGAATTTTAACCAACTTAACCCCTTTAAGCCTCTCATAGGCCCGAAGTCTGTTGTGTGGTGGGTGCTGTCTACCACAGCGTCTGAGAAATGACCGGTCCCCTAAAGTTCCGCAGAACTTTCCTACCAGGGGCATTCTCGTGGTAAGACATCAAGTTTTGAAAATTGCCATTCTTAATTGTCTACTCTCTTAACACTTTTCAATATTCATCTGGAGAATGCCTGATGGGTTTCTTATTTTTATTTTCCCTGCTGCTGAGATATTTTTTCCTTTCAACCACAGATGGAGTCTTATGCAGTGTTTGTTTTGCTAGGATTGTAGACTCCTGCCTTGCAGAACTTGTTTTAGAAAGCCGCTAAATGGAGTTCTTGTTCAGATTTAAAATGCATATTCAGGGCATGCAAATGAATTGTAGTCAAATTAAGCCCTGAAAAAAAAAAAAAGCCCTAAATATCCTGCTAATGAACAGGGCATTCAGGCGCTAAAGATCCCATCATGATGGGATTATAAAGAACCTGCGTTTAATTATGACTTGTAAAAGGCACTTTCAGGTAGGAATAAAGACGGTAACACTTGTTCAATTAGAGGTGAACATTCGTCTAGGAGGTGCAAAAGCCTTTCTGTGATAAGACCCAGAAATCTTGTTTTTCTGCTAATGCGATTTCATACATTTTTGTTGCACCGTGGGCTGAGCAGCATTCCTAGTCCGTTGCCTCGGATGGGAATTGTTCAGCGCCATGTCACACATAACTGTGGTCCAGTCTTCATGCAGAGCAGTGAGCCGATCCCATAGGCAGGGGAGAGTGTCTGCCGAAGGCAGGCGCGCTGATTCATTCCCCTCTTCAGTCTTTGTCGCCAGCCTCGCATCCTTTTCACGTTTATTCATGAGCTCACCGCACCGGGAAGGGGAAAAAATTTATTTGCATTATAACACTGCATTTAAAAGCTGTAAATTACATGGAGCTATAAATCCTGCCTTTTGGTAAACACTAACCTCATAAAATCTGCGGGTTTGCGTGCCCACGTGAGTGTGCAACCTTTGGGTTTGGGCTTCTGTTCTCTGCGTCTTCCAGCCCTTTGAGTTCCAGCATCCGGACAGCCCGCAGCTAGAGAAGTGCAAAGTCTGCTTCAGTCTGAGTACACAGGAAAGAGCACGGACTTGTTTAAAACAAGCAGGCATTGTGTGAGGACCAGGGTCCGGTCTCTCGGGTCCCTCATATCCAGCTTTGCAACCCCGGGATGTTTGGAAAGCACTGTGCACTCAGATCACTAAAACAGCCTTTACTGTTGGCCAAATATGTTCAGAAGCTAAGAAGCTGATAATCTGAGGAGAGTCTAAAACAGTGGTTCTCAACCTTCCTAACACTGTGACCCTTTAATACAGTTCTTCATCTTGCGGTGCCCCCATTCATAAAATTATTTGGGTTGCTACTTCATAACTCAGTTTGCTACTGTTATGAATTGTAATGTAAATATCTGTATTTTTCAGTGGTCTTAGGTGACCCGTGTGAAAGGATTGTTCCACCCCTCCCCTCCAAAGGGCTGCAACTCACAGGTTGTGAACCACCGATCTAAAAGGATTTTTTGGGTTGGCAATACAAAAAGGTCACAATTCCTTGTCTTTTCTTTCATAGGGAAGAAAATCCTGAACACCTGTCACTCAGATAGGTACCCAAACTTGAGCTTGCCAGTGACCTGTGTCCTCAGCATCCAGCAGCCCTGAGTCCAACTGCTTTCAGGGAAGGTATTGACTGTTGTCTTAAGTGTCTTTGAACTCCTGGAGTCAGGGGTGGAGGCTGACCTAAGGTGGGGCTAGCCTAAATGCTTACAGGTAAAGCATACATTGTATGTTGGAATTCACAAAGACCACCTCCGCCCCCCAAGTGCCAGGATTAGTTTTTTAAGATTCATCACAGTCTAAAATATACATGACAAGATCAGGAAGGAGAAGGCCAGAAAGCCAATATTCTCTTTTGAATGCACCGCTGTAACGTGAATCCTAATTGGTCTTAATAATAAAAACCCGGAGTCAGCCATCAGGGTGAAAGCTGAAAGATCAGAGAAGCAGAGCAGACACTGGAGAGACTTCTTACCTCTGCCGGAATCCTTAGACTGAAAGGGCCGAGCTCCTGTCTCCACCCCACCTTATCACTTCCTCTCTCCACCCAGCCATATCACTTCCTGTTTCCTGCTCTGAAATGTTGGGATTAAAGGTGTGGGCCACCGCTGCCTGGCTTCTAGTGGCTAGCTCCACACTTCGATCTTCAGGCAAGATTTATCTGTGTTAAAAGCACAAACAAAGTATCACCACACAATGCAAGACCAAATCCTTTAACAAATCTTGCCCTGGGACACTTGTGACACAAGCCTAAGGACCCGAGTTAATACCCCGAGTCCCCAAGCCCAATGTTAAAAAGATGGGTAAGAGGACTCCTGTATGAGAAACTCCAGCAATGTGCTGGGTCAGAGACTGGGATCGCTAGGGCTTGCTAGCTGCCAGCTTAGGTCCGGGTTCAGTGAGAAACTCTTCTCAAGGGAATGAAGTGGTAGAGCAGGACATCCTCCTTGACCTTCTCTGGGCACAGGCACCTGAGCCTGTCCACATACATTCACATATCACCCCTCCTCAGAACACACCACACACACACACACACACACACACACACACACACACACACACACACACACCTGTAGCTAAGTAGATTATGTTCCACCTCCCACCTCTCCAATCAAGTTGTCATAAAGCTGTTTGTCATTAGGAGCTGGGGGGAGGGTTTGGGGGGGGGGCGGTAGAGCTCAGTCCACAGCCAATGCAGAGAGCTTCTGTTAGCTGATCGTGTTGGAAAAGGCTTTTGTAACACAAAGCCATCCCGACAGCACATTGGCTCACATAACATACCTCCAAAGACCCTGCCCCGTCCTGTTCTCAGCATTTGCTCCTCTGTCATTGCATTGGCTTCCCTTTTGCCATCTGAAGCCACCAGGCATGTTCCTGCCACAGGCCCTTTGCACTTGCTCTTCGGCCTTGAACTTTCTTCCTCCATACACCCCTGTGGCAGGTATGCATGTCCCCTTCAGGATTTTACAGAGATACTACCTTCCCAAGATACTATCCTGACTCCCACCCGTCCGTCTCCAACTTCCTTTTCTGAGGGATCTCTCCATGGAAAAGAACAAAAAAAGCACTCATAGAGTGGATGAAATGCTAGAGGGTGGTCTACAGAATAAATACAGCAAAACAGAACATCTGTGGTCCTGAATCAGAGGAGACGCATTCAGACCCCAGCGAGTGCACATTCTCAGGACTTGATGGACAAAGACAGGTGTTTAATGCATTGAAGCAGAACCGTGTAACAAGAAAAGATAAACGCACTGTGCTAACCGTTGCTTGTCACAGTTTCATGGTTTGACTGTGTTGATCACTAAAAAGAGGATTCTTGGGATGGGGCATCCGTAAAGCCCTGGTTTGATTGTTAGCAGTGAATAAAATGGCTTGTAATCCCAGCATCTGGTAGATGAAGGGGAGGACAGACATGTGGGGGATAGAAGGGGATTGGGGGGGGGCAGGAAGGACTGGGGACAGGGGACTACATGACCAGAGGTTCGAGATCTCCTTTGTCTACTTTGAGGCCAGTCACAGCTACAGGAGTCTCTGTCTCAAATAAACAGTGTTTCTTTACATGTGAGGAGAGACTCCCACACTCTTGGGTGAAGGAACCTTATACTGGATGTATGTTTAGAAGAGGAATGTTGAAGAAGACCTAGAGAGTGAAGTGGTATTGATGGTAGTATTAAGGCCACCCCACGTAGTTAAGAGGGAGGTTTATTTTGTGGGGTAACTTACAAGTAAAGGGATAGGTTACAGGTCCAGGAAAGGTGTAGTGCAGCCCAGTGGTGTTCTCTGGAAACTCTGCTCAGTCTAGCTCCAGTGTCCAGGATCCAGGAACCAAGAGAGCCAGCCCATCCAGATCTTGGGTCTTCAGGGCTCCCGTCTCAGCCCTGCCTTGTAGGTGTGACAGTTACCGAAGCCTCAATGGGAGTGGCACTTCCAGGTCAAAGCTGGAACAGCTACCCACTATAAGGTGGTCAGGAAAGACCTTCTCCCCCCAGGGGCTGGAACTCAGAGGTCATGAAAGGATGAAACTGTTCAGAACCTTTTGCTAAGCTGAGGAAGCAGGAAAGGGAGAGAAGATTTGCCGACAGATTCCGGAGATGATACTGAGTCATGGGCCCTGTGTGTTTCTTTTTTGGAGAGGTGAATAGGACCAGAAATACACAGACTGTGAGGTTAGCTGAAGGCCAGAAGCACCCCTCGCTTCCCAGCCGGGAGACCCCCAGCTACACAGCCAGCTTGGAGTGGGGGCTCCTAGAAGCCAGGTCCCAGATGGGATTCAGGCTAAAGCTGTTGTGGGCAAGCCCAGAGGAATGGGTGACAATGGAGAGGGGTGCTGAAGCTTTGACAAGCATGTGGCTTCCTTCCTTCCTCCCTCCCTTCCTTCCTCCCTCCCTTTCTTCCTTTTCTTCCTTTCTTTCCCTCTCCTTCCTTCTTTTGTTTCTTTTTTCTCCTTCTTCCTTTTCCTTCTCCTACTTTTTTGCCCAGCTGAAAATACTCTTAGATTGCCATTGTCTCCAAATAAGCAGAACTTGTAGGTACCGTATCACCCTGACTCCACAAGAAGCCTAGAGTCCTTCTATCCTTTTCTAAGAAGAAACCAGAACTACTTTCAACAGAATTTTGGGAATCCTACATGGAGCAGCCTCTATAAAGATTTTCTCGTCAACAGCTCGGGAGAGAGCATGAATTCAACCTTGAGGTTGAGTTGTTTGTATTCTGTGTTGACTTTTCATCATCTTTTAATGCCCGTATCAACTGCAAGCGGTTTTACTGAGAAGTAGGCTGGGACAATGTGAAACCACAAGGACATCTGTTGATTATTATGAATGACAGAAGGGACTGAGTGTGCTGACAAACGCCAGTGTGAGGCAGGGAGGGACACGGGGCTTCAGCTGGAGGCAGTGTTGGAGGATACACAGTAGAAGGCTCTGGCTAACAGCAGAGTCCCAAATCAGGGACTAAGCTGACTGGGACTTGGAAAGCAAAAACAGGTTTCACTTTAAGTTGTGAAGTTTGCCACAGGTTTCAATCACATCCTAACATACTTTTCCAACTACAGTATTCTGTCATCTACACTAGTAAGAAATTTATGAACCTCTCTCTACAGGGCCCAGAGTATATTTCTCCTGTCTATCTATCTATCTATCTATCTATCTATCTATCTATCTATCTATCTATCTATCTATCTATCTACCTATCTACTATGTATCTATTATCTGATCAGTTGATTGATCTGTCTATCTTAGTTAATTTTTTGTTGCCATGATGAAATACTGTGACCAAAAGCAACTTACAGAAGGAAGAATTTCTTGGCTTCTCTGGGCCCCGGGTACACTGTTTGATTTCCACTCCCTTCCTGTCTGGTTTAGATTTCATCTTGCTTGGTTGGTAAGGATTCAGTAGGAGGATGAAAGGCAGCTTCTTCCTTGATAGATACACTATTTGGGTAGAAAAGAGAACTCCAGAGAAAGCTCTTCCCTGCGTTTGCAGATTCTCTAACACTTAGTTTGAAGCTCAAAACACATTTTGGAGTATCATTGAGTGCCAGTGCTAAACATTAATAAGTTGCATACCTTTAAAGAGAGAGGAGGGAGGAGGGGAGAGAGAGCACGCACCATCAGTGGCCCCTTTTTAAAAATTTATTTTAATTTTTTTTTAAGACAGGGTTTCTCTGTGTAGTTTTGGTGCCTGTCCTGGATCTCGCTCTGTATGCCAGACTGGCCTTGAACTCACAGAGATGCACCTACTTCTGTCTCCCAAGTGTTGAGATTAAAGGTCTGCACTACCACTGTCAAGAACTGCTTTTGGAAAGGTAAGAGGTATGGGAGACTCTGGTTAAAAGTGTTTCTGGCCTTAAAAATTTTTTCATTCTTCAAATCCTTGGGGAGCTGTGGTCTAGCCTCTATTTCTAGACACACACACACACACACACACACACACACACACACACACACACACACACATAGAGAGAGAGAGAGAAAGAGAG